ACTTTCGACACCTTCCTCATCGAGAGATCATGACCCCCGCGAGGAATTGCACCGTTGCACTTCTCGAAAGAAACTGAACAAAGCCCTTTGGTCACACGTGCTGATGTAAGTTATATATAACTTCGCAACGTTGCATTTTATTTTGAAAATAACTGGGGATTTTACACTGAAACCGTGTGGTTTCCTGTCTCGCACTATGTGGACTTCGGAAATTGACGTGTCCCAGAAGCGGCTCGCGGGAAAAAATAGAACTCGATCCTATCTTTAGCGGCACAGCATGCCGCTTCTGGGACACACCTGAAAATTGCTGCGTTGCGGCTGGTTTGAAACACTTCATAGACCACGTGTCACATACAAGGTGTCTGCAGCTCCGCTGTCTCGGACAAACTAAACACTCCTCTCACTCAGCGCTGAGTTTACTCAGCTATTTTCTGATGTTGAAGCCAAGAAACTGAGATTTTAACCGCTCAGTAATGTGTTCACGACTGAAAGAGAAAGTTTTCTAACTAACTTCCAGACAGAGCTGATACAACTCCAGCGAGCAGCGACACGCTCAAATCAGCATGACTCTGTGGCTGCTGTAGTTTTGATTTTTCCTCCCCGACACACAACAACGTGGTCAAGCTGCTCAGACACTCTCCATGTTCAGCAGCACAAACTGTGAGCATCTGTTGTCATCTAATGTTGGCATTATTATGATGAAGATGAACAAAACAGCAGGAGTCTCCTCCTCAGCTCAGATCAACCCCATGATGCAGGTATCTGGCTGGAACAGGTGAGCATCACAGTAAACCAGTGGAGCAAACTGGGCTTTAAATATGTTGGTTTTATGCTCTTTTTCTGCTCCAAAACATGAAAGTTAACAGGTGAGATGTTGCATTTTAAGATAAAATGATATTTTTATTTTGTTGTTGGCCCGTGAGAAAATATTTAACCTACAGTAAAACAGGAAGTGGAAAGGCTGCAGATAGATGAATAGAATAGAAAATCCCTTTATTGTTCCTCAGTGGGGAAAGCTAGACGTCACAGCAGCGATGACACGTATTACAGGAGAAAAAAAATGAGAATAAAAAATAAGAAAAATGAATAAACAACACGAAAACATAAATCCTGAATAGATTTTAAAAATGCTGATTATACCACAAGTAATGAATACCACTGATGCGTTTTATTTAAAACTGACTTGCTCGTGTAATTTGATTATTCCACATTCAGTGTTAATGCAAAAATAAATATGTTTCCAAATTAAAAGGTTCAAAATTGCATATATGTTGATAAACAGAAAGTGCAAATTTGCCCACACTTTTTCCAAAAAATATTAAGTTTGGCCCGCGACTTCGTCCCAGAGTTTCATTTCAGCCCAGTGTGAATTTGAGTTTGACACCCTTGCCATAGACTATTGACCCTTTGCACCGACATCATCTAATCACGTGGGTCCACCATGGTGGACGGCAAAAGCATGTAAACAGTGAGCGACACGATTACTAAACAAAGGGAAAAGTAGAGCCTGAAATTGTTTTTGCGATCAAAACAAAAACAAAACTCCTCCAACATTCCTTCAACTAGTTCATGCCCAGTTCAGTTATCAGAAGAAGTAGTGCATCTAGCCGGGGCTCATAGAGAGCGGTATGTTAACTAGCTTACCAACGTTAGCTTACGTTCTCTCTGCAGCTGTTCACCGATGTAAACATGTTGCTGACTTTGCCTAAATTCATCCCGCTGGATTTATAACCTTATGTTATAAACAGCGTTTCACTTTACACCAAAGCTGATTTTTAAAAAGTCCGGATCCCTACCAGCTTCTGTTGCTGGTGGTGTTACCGGGTTCAGCTGCTGCTCTCACACCGGAATGAGAAGATCTCTGAACGCCGACGCTCATATAAATAAATAACGTAATTTTAACACACGTAGTCATACATCGGAGCTTTAATATTGTTAATAAATGTTCCGCTTTACACTAATTTACACTACAGTGGACGGCTGATCGCTGATGTGTACAGTGATCGCTGCAGTTCATCTCCGTCCTCAGTCTCCATCAAAGTTGTTAAAAAGAAAAAACGAGTCTGTTAGTGCAGCCGACCACGCAGCAAGCTAAAACCATTTTACTGTCAAATCAACTAAATAAAAGCGATAAAAGGCTACAAACTGGCTTGTTTTGACTACCTTCACTGGAGTTTCTACGGGTGTAAACGGTCTTTTTGCCGTCCATCATGGCGAAGGGGGCGGTCACATGAGTGGCGTGACGTCACGTGCAAAGGGTCAATAATTGGATTCTATTTGAAGCGGTGCCGCTTCGCTGCCATTCCCTTCCGCTGATGCTTGCAACCGTCCCACCCCCGCTCTCACAGAGGAGCGCTGCGGGACGGAGTGCCCCCCCCCCCCCCCCACACACACACACACACAGAGGAGTGCTGCGGGAAATTAGCAAATTTTCACACTTTGCTGTCTCTCAGAAATAAGGCCCCTTGTGTTTGCCGAATTGGTTCCTGTATAAGGCACCACGCCCGAGCCTATGTAGGGGAAACACTGCATCTGTGTGCAGCTGTGATTGATGCTTTGCTCATGCCTGTCATTTAAAGTGGTTTCCTGCTTGTGCAACCCCAACTTGCTGCGTCTTTCATGTAAACTGATTTTTTTATATCAGGTGTTGAACCACAGCTTTGACTTCTCAAATCCATGCTTGTGGTGCAACGGTGAGGCCAGTAAAGATAATGTACTGTTCGGTCCCTTGTTCCTCCCCATTAAGAAAAAAAGCTGTAATGAAATCACCTCTGCTTCAGCTCGGCCCTGATGAGGTGTTTCCTGTGTGACTTAGGGATGGCGTAACTGCTGATCTTGTGGCCATGCAGACAGCCACCATATCTGCTATCTAAAGAGGAATTTCAGCTCATGGTGTTCACAGATAACGACGTAAATGGCATATAAATTAATTTAAACACACTTTTTTTTTATCCTGGTTAAAGCCCATTTAAGAAGCTTCTTTCTCCTCACCTTTGACCCTGTTTTGACTCGCCTTTTTAAATAAAAAAATCTCAGTTCACAGAAACGACAGTAACTGATCTTGAACCAGTCTCGGCACGCAGAGCTTCCTGTTGTGAGTTATTTACTCCACCATATGTTGAGGCGGTGTCAGTGGGCCTGTTGGGGTATTCTCGAGAGTTCAAAACAGATGATCTTACTCAGCTGCTGAGAAAAGATCATCTGATTGCTTTGCTGCACTGAAGTCAGAGGATATCAGTAGTATTTGTGTCTCTTGTCATCCTTTGTGTGGTATTTGTGGCACACAGAGGGAACAGATTGTAAACACAGAGAAGCTGCCTATGTTTTTACTTAGAAATCCATTCAGTTTGCTTTATTTTAGTCTCCATTCAGTCTGTCTGTGTTAATCCTTATTCAGGCTTCAACTATGTCTTGCCACACTGCACCCCTAGCCCACTGTGCTGCTAGGTTTCCAGGCAGTAAATGAGGTTTTGCTTTTAAAGCCTGTGCACTAACAGCGAGTGATTGTCATCAGGCTGCGGCTATCATGCAGCTAATGCTTATGCTTATGGATATGTGTGTGTGTGTGTGTATGCATGTTCTTATGTGTTTTTTATGTATTTTTATTCTCATTTATTGTAGTTGTTGTATGTTTTAGAGAGCGAACATCTACCGAAGCTAAATTCCTTGTAAATGTAATTTTACTTGGCCAATAAATCTGAAATCTGAATCATTCTGCAGAGCACAAGAGTGCATTGTGTTGTCTTTATTCTAGAGTGGGCTCAGAGATCAGGCCTAGTTGTGGAAGCTTGTTTCTGAGCCACACTAAACTGTAAGTGAAGTTTTTCCTGCTGAAGCAACAGTGTCTGAACGTGCATTCCTGCACAGTGATGTGAGATTTAGAGCTGTGGTGAGAATCCCCAGAGGGCTCGGGGCTGTGTGCTGAATGCAAACGTGCAGCATTTTTACTTACAGGCTGTTTTATTAGGACGTTATTCAGCTGTTTGGAGGAGACAAGCTGCTCTATTCTTTGGTGGTGATGGTGAAACTTGGCTCTGACTTGATTTATGATCCCCCACCACACACACACACACACACACACACACACACACACACACACACACGATTATTTATCGAACAGAACTTTTTTACGGCAACACTGTGAGTGTAAAACCTGTTTCTGTGTCTCATGCTCACCCCTTTGACCAAACATGGAGGAGATACCTTACAAACATTCAGAGAGCCACACCCAGGGATTTTCAGTTGATCTGTTTTGGCCTCTGGGTGTTTTCTTCTTTCTGACTGCCCTCTGCTGGAGCCTCACGCTTACTTTAGCTGCGATTTCACTTTCAATGTTCTTAAACTAAAACTGCAACACTGATTTACTGACGTATAACCTCTCATTGCAGGTCTTCTCTCTACAACAGCTGTTTGCTTTATTTTCAGAAAATCACACAAAAAAAATAGAATACATAAAAATAATTAAAATTGACAAGTAGAATAATAATTGTTTACATTTAAAAATTTGTAAACAGCCATATCAGCATTTCTTGAATTCATTTATTTATTTAACTCCTCAGTGGCTTAGCAGTAAGAGTGTCATCCCAGGGACTGGGAAGTCAGAGTTCAAGTCCCTGTTGGGCCATAAAAAGACTGTCAAAATGTACCTCAACCCTCCTTCAAATGCAAACTTAAACAATGGTTGAAGGAAAACCAAAGTTGTATCCATCAGTAATTTTTTTTTAGTTTTAGTTTTTCCTAGTTTCCTAGTATTAAATATAATACTTTACTTTCTTTTATTGTTTTTATTGCCTGCCTAGGGACTGCAGATATAAATTAGCACAGGTGCTACCATCTGGCATATTTACTGATGCAATTTATTGTTGAAGTTCATTAATATGCACTGTACCTATTAAATAAAGAAACGAAATGAAAAAAATGAAATGACTTCAACATGACACTGCCCCCTGTTGGTGTTCAAACATAAGTCCACTCTTATGCCTGTCCTTTTGTTTCCACAGGTGTCTGGAGGCCCTGCTGGTCTATTTCAAGGCTGGTAAAAAGGAGGAGCCTTATGTCACCCTGTCCAGAAAAATAAGTCTGAAAAAGGGCCATCAGACGCCCATGGAGCTGGAAATTGGCCAATCAGAGCGCATGCTAGCTACACACAGGAACGCCTTCAAACGCACCGCAGTCATTCAGGCTTTCCTGGGATCCACACCTCAACTGACCCTGCAGTTGTACGCCACCATCAACGAGAAGTACAACCTCCTTCCAGTGAGATGTAAGAAACAGAGCCTCTGTTCTAAAATAGGAGGAATGATTCATGTTAGGTGGTTTACCGTCTTACTGAGTAATAACAGACAAAAAGACGGCATGCACAAACGAAAATTTGGACTTGACTCCATCAGCCGTGTGCCTGGTTACATCAATAGGATAAGATGAGACAAAATAGGTTGTTACAGATCCCCAGCAAAGGGCATTCAAATGCTACAGCAGCAGTAACGACAATACAAACTACTGGATGAAGTAAAATATACTGCTGATGCTTTTTAATATTTATGTAAAACCATAGCTATTGATTATATAATGGAATGCCATATTGTTGTCCATATTTTTAAAACTCGAGCTTGTTGACCATTTTGACGAGTTTGTTTTGCAAATGCCCTTTTTGGGCAAGATGTTTAAAGTGGACGAGCTGTCCACTTCCAAGTCTCTCAGGAAATTGCTTCAGGAATTCAGTATAAACCCTGAGTTCCTTCAGACACTCACTTATTTTCTAAGTGTTTATTGATCTTCTGTAAAAGCACGAATTCAAGTCTTTTTCAGTTTTTTTAAACTCTGCAGAATTTATAATAAATTCTAACAAGTTGCCCAGTTCCCCAGACTTAAACTTTATTTAAAACACATTTCTTATCCTGGCCTGCAGATGGCTCCAGAGTAAGAAATGTAGTGATTCATCCAGAGTAATAAATGACCAACAGTAAGCAAGCTAGCATTAGCTTTTCTTTCAGCTAATTACTTTACATGAAAACGAAGCAGAATTCACAGAAGATGTGTTATATTTGTAGGATAGAGATGAGCTATGTTAGGATATGAGATTATAGTCACACATACACATACACACACTTGTGTGTGTTCAATGGAACTCCATTGACTTCCATTCAGTTTAGTGACTCCACTATGCCTAACACATACCTTAACCCTAATCTTAACCAATGGGGTTTTATTCCTGACCCTAACCTAATGTAACCTAAACTAAAAGCTAATTCACACCATACCCCTAAAACCAAGTTTTAGGGTGCTTAAGTACTGTGTGGACCAGCAAAATGTCCCCACAAAGTAAAAATATCCACACTGTGTACTGTGGACCACACAGTACAGGTTAAAGTTCAAATTTGTCCACCTAAATCTATAAAGACATGTACACACACACACACACACAGGCAAAATGTATTTGCAAGCCCTCTGATTGTGCAAGTAGTCCCACTTAAAAAGATGAGAGGTCGGTAATTTTCATAAACTCCAGCTCTGAGAGGCAGATTGTATATAAAAAGTCTCTGAGCTGTCATGGACTTTCCTTTAGCTAGACTTTATTGCAAGTGATGTCGCGCTCCTTAAGTTAGTTTGACAAGCCGCTCCTAAAGGTGTCTGTCTGTCCTCCACAGTCCCCTTGGACTATCTGGTGATCTGGGCTTCAAATCTTAACAGAGAAGTTCCTGGAGCTCTGCATCGCTCCAGTCTGCCCTCTCAGCTGGTTCTGTTAAAAAAAGTGAAACTTATGCCCATGTTTACTTTTTTTTTCAATATAGTTGCTGACCAGACCTTTGCAGTAATTCCACACATAATCATAACACCACCCTCATTAGATCAGCGCCAAGGTGTAATATTTATTCACAAGTCTGGCGTTGCTGCAATATTACTACCTCTCGTGGCGGCACGAATGCTATGAAATTCCTGCATCGCCATGCCACCATGGCACATTCAGAATCATAAGACACCGTGGCGGCAGTATAGGGCTTGGGATCACCTGTGATTATGAGTTGCATTCTGGGATGTGCACAGGCATGTTAATGGCCTTACTACGAGTGTAAACAAACCATGAAAATTAACAGTAGGTTGCAGAGAACAAGCAGATTTGAGAGAAAGGAAGTGTTAAATAACATGTTAAAATCACAAAATAGATGTGGGACATACAGGGATGCGTTAAATAGAGAAGTCGGGGACCGATACATGGACAAAATCAGCATTATAACTGGTTTGGATCCATATGAACGACCCAAAAGTGGAGCACTGATGAATTGTTGCTGTTGCAGCTCTGCATAACGGACGTTTTTGGACAACTTGTTTATGTTGTGAGTGGATGTAAACGTCCAGATGAGAGGTAAACATTTCTTTTACTGGTTTTTCTAGTAAAACCATCAAAATTGTCATCCCATAGTAGAAGTGTAGCAGGAGAAGTTGTGTTGTGGGTCAGTGCACCCCCATTAGCCTACCGGTATGTGTGTAGCCTATGTGTGTGTTGTGTGTGTGCATGTTGCGGTTAAAGAAAAGAAACGATGTATAATAAAAACGGACACCATCTGTAACTTACCAGAGTGTAAATACTCTGGAAGGTGATGTTTCGTTGCCTTACAGCTACGAACCGATGAGACATTGTTAGATACTTGGTTACCGTAAAACGTTAGCTTCTTTTCCACCATTTTCCCTGGCGATCATGTTTTGCACCCCACAACACAGCAATGATTTACCATAGTTGTGTAATGTAACCGATCAAATGAATAATAGATATCTAATAAATGTCTAAGCTTCAGCTGTTACACACCTGCTTAGACTCTATCAAAACCTGGATGGCTGGGAACTTTCTTCAGCTGAATGAAGATAAGACTGAGATCCTCATCTGTGCCCCAGACAAGCTGGTTCCCAAAGTCAGAGACTCTCTTGGTCAGCTTGCTTCTCACACCAAACCTTCTGTCAGGAATCTTGGCGTGACCTTTGACCCAGCTCTCACCTTGGATTCTCATGTCAGTTCTCTTGTTCGCTCTTCCTTCTTCCATCTCAGGAACATTGCTAAGCTGAGTCCCATTCTGTCTCGCTCTGAACTTGAGACAATTCTCCACACCCTCATCTCCTCACGCTTAAGACTACTGTAACTCTCTTTTCACGTGTCTGAGCAGAACCTCCCTGAACCGTCTACAGGTGGTTCAGAACGCCTGTGCTCGGCTTCTGACCAAGTCCTCCAAACACACCCACATCACCCCGCTTCTCCTCCAGCTTCACTGGCTGCCAGTCAACTTCAGGGTTCATTTCAAGATCCTGGTTCTGGGGTCTCATTTATAAAACATTGCGTAGAATCCTTACTAAAACCGTACTTAAGCTCAGCAAAAAAAAATTACTTATGCCAAGTAGGTTTGTGACCTATAAAACATGGAGTATGCACAGCTTCATGCAATCTCCGCTTTATAAATCAGAAACTTTCTAGGAATGTGCTCAGCTGTTTTTAGTTCACACCCCACCCTCAACACGCCCACTTTCTGCCATAAATGGTCAATGAAAATTGCCTTGTGGATCTCATGCATGTACATTACCTGGCTCGGTCCAGCGCTCCACCATTACCGATGGCGACCGCAGATCAAGGAAGCGCAATTTCACTGAAGCAGAAATTGAGGTACCTGTGGGTCAGGTGGAAAAATGAAAGGAAGTGCTTTTGCAAAACAAATAAGAGAAAATCCACAGAGTGTCCGTAGACAATTTAGTCTCGCATCAATAGATGTTGGAGCATAAAATAAACTACCTTTGATGCTGCAATAACATTCATTTTCCCCAGCACTGACGTTTTAAAAACTTTGGAAATGTGAAAATGTTCTATTATTGTGGTCCCAGCTCTAAATCAGTTTCCCCCTGAAGGTGACCGAAGGTTTGGACAGGTGTCAGGTAAAGAGTTCAATCAGGTTCCATTAATACAGGTAACGAGTGGAGAATAGAAGAGCTTCTTAAAGAAGTAACAGGTCTGTGAGGGCCAGAATTCTTGATTGTTTGTTGGTGCTAAATACTTATTTTCTGCAACATTATATAAATTATTTAAAAATCATACAATGTGATTTCCTGGATTTTTTTTTACATTTTGTCTGTCACAGCTGAAGTTTACCTATGATGAAAATTACTGACCTCTTGTTTTTTTTTTTTTTTTTTTTGTCGGACCGCTTACGATCAGACGATGCCCCGCAGTTTAGATCCACCGATCAATTCTGCTCAAGCTGCTTCTCACACTAGTTTGATAAACCTTAACTATGTTTGTAAATGTTCGTATAAAATGTAACATTTCTATTACGACAGTAATTTAACTCCTTTAAAATGTGGTTGCAGTATTGTTTAAAGTCCGTATCCGTTTGTGTCCACAGTGGCTCTGATGATCATCACACTCATCTCCATCATATATGGTGCTGTCGTTTGCAACGTTCTGGCCATCCAGATCCGATACGACGACTACAAGGTGCGGCTGCGTCCTGTGGCCTACCTGTGCATGATCATATGGAGAGGTCTGGAGATCGCCACCCGGGTTGCTGCTTTGGTTCTCTTCAGCTCTGCGCTGACATACTGGGTGATCCTCGTGGGCGTGGCTAACCTGCTCTTCTTTTTCTTCCTCCCATGGGTCGAGTTCTGGGCCAAGAAAGGCTCGTTAGCTGAAGGAGTGGAGAAGAACTTCTCTAAGCTGGGCACCACAGTGGTGCTGTGCATGTTCACGTTGCTGTATGCCTGCATCAATGTGTTCTGCTGGTCGGCGGTGCAGCTCGACCTAACTCACCGAGAGCTCATTGAGAGGAGGCAGGCCTGGGGCCGCCTAGCCATGTACTACTCTGGACGCTTTGTTGAGAACTTTCTCCTCATCACGCTCTGGTACTTCTTCAAGACAGACTTTTATGAGTATGTGTGTCCCCCACTGCTGGTGGCCCAGCTGCTGGTCTTCTACTGCCTGTCTGTGCTCTTCATGCTGCTTTTCTACCAGTTCTGCCATCCCTGCAGGCGCCTGTTTGTGTACAACGTCCATGACTGCCTACACTGCGTCTGCTGCCGTCGGGGGCGGCTCCAATCTCGGAGGAACCCGGCAGATATGCCACCGTCGTACTCCACTGCTGCCACCATGGTGCTAATGTCAGAGGGGCCTCTGGACCCTCAGAACTCCCAACCTCCCAACCCCCCCAGTCAGCCAGGAGAGCAGGAGACAAACTGTTAGATCAATGAAGATAAATGAATTCTGGGACTATAGAGGCATGACGCTAGCACGGAACACAAGCATGGACTATTTAAATTCTTCTTTAAAGTGAACAAATCTACTCTTTAATGCTTCTGAGAGGCGACGGTCCGCTCCACAAGGCCCCCAGCCTGCCAAAGAATGCAACACGTCAGCATGAACAAAGGCATCTGTTGAGAGCAGCACTGAGCCAGGTGTGAGGGGGGAAAGTGCCAAGAGTGTTTAAAGCACTGAGCAGGACTCTGTCTGCCTCCTCTCAGGGTCCCCATGCTTGCACACATCTGCACAAATCAGCCTTTAAAAAGAAGAAACGCACACGACTGCTGGAGAGCGAGTGATTTGTTTTCGTCGTGCCTGTCTGCGGTCATGAATGCCTTTTGTTGTTCGCGGTCCATTTGCTCTGTATTGAGGAAAAATGGGGATTTCTTTGCGTTGCGAAAGAACAAAAGGAAACGTGTCAAAAGACAGATTGACTAAATAATTTTTAATGTGTGATTAAAAGATTATCCATAAACAATCCTGACATTGTTGCTTTACAAAGACCGACACTAAACATGTTGTGCTGTATTACTATTTTTTGTATCTTGAGTTTGGTTAAACTGTGCCTTGACTGCTGCTGTTCTACTTGAATCTTGAATAAAGTGAGAAAAACAAACGTGTGTTTCCTGGATTCATTTTTTTGTTATTCCTTATAACTAAAGAAGAAAGTTGCATCACGCCCATTATGACCACAAGTGCAATAAAAATGTTATTTTATCATCGAGCCCTGGGGTGTTACAGCAGCCAGATGAAGCTGTCTGAACATTGTGTCTGGCTCTTCCTCATTCCTCCCTTCATGAAGTTTATCCATCTCCAGCCAGCAGGAATGTGGTCATTCAGGAAACTTCCTGAATGATGCAATATCCCCGTTTGCAGGATTTATTTCCTCATCAAAGGTGTACCTGTGCCGGAGGGAGGAGTCTGAGCAGAAGTTATAAAAATCAGTGCAGACAGGTGTAGGCTGCAGGACGTCTCCAACAGGGGTTCATCATGGGGAACAAGATAGTCAACTATGGGGTTCCATCCTTCATTATTGTGAGTTCTCATTCGCACTTTTCTTTTTCTCTGATTGTCTCTCAGACATAAATCAAGTTTATAATTATGCTGCATGCTTCTACGTGGGTCGATCAGTGTCTGATGAACACCATCTGTGTTCCAGGTGGTCTGGATGGGCATCAACATCTTTCTTTTTGTCTGGTATTACCTTTTCTATGATAGAGGGGACAACTTTTTCTACACGCGCCATCTTTTGGGGGTGAGTGATAAGATTTCAAACTCCTGGGTGGGAAAAAAATGCTGTAATGCTTTGAGGAAGGATCGACTGAGATAGTTCACGTAAATAAAGGCGAGGAGAAAAGCGCTGAAATATCAAATTATTGCTTTTATTACTATGTTTTAGTCAATTGTGTCGAACTTTTAAAAAATTTACTTACATTTTTCATGCGAAAATTTTGCAGCTCAAATATGATCTTTAATTAATCTGAAACTGAACAATCTTGGCTGAGTAGATGAATTATAGTTCATCTCTGTGCTGTTGAAGAGAAGATTCATTACTCTGTAATGCACCTTTCACCGTCTGAAGGCTGTAGTAGCGTTAATGTATGAAAAATGTTTTCATGAACTCACCTGATTTTATTCCATTATGGTGTGGATCGTGTGCATTCTCTCTCAGTCTGCCTTGGCCTGGGCCAGGGCTCCTGCAGCTGTCCTGAACTTTAACTGCATGCTGATCCTCCTGCCTGTGTGCAGAAACCTGCTGTCTCTGATCCGAGGCTCCCTCATGGTACGGTTACGTTCATCTGTCCCAGCCAGACCAGGCGTTCTACGCAACTCTTCATATTTTGCTTGAATTTCGATTTGATTAAAAAAAATTATGTGTATTTTCTCTAGTTTTATTTAAGCTGACAAGTGAAAACACCTCATTCATCTAATCAAACTGCCACCTGTAAACTGGATCTGCTTGTTCTCTTATTTTCTTCATATTAAAGTTGCATCACTGCGTGAAAAGGTGATGCGCAATAGCATTTCACTTTTGAATGTTCACCAATGACTTCCTGCTTGTGATGGTGATTTTCAGTAATGACACTGCTGACCTCCCTAATCATAAACAGACAAAGTCTGGGGAGCTTTCTGCTCTGGAAAACCATCTCGTGACAGGTTTTAACGCCTCACTTCCTTTCACTCTTCATCTTCACAGTGCTGCAGCAGAACAATGAGAAGACAAATGGACAGAAACTTGACTTTCCACAAACTGGTGGCGTACATGATCGCCTTGATGACAGGTATTATTTTGGAACATTTCTGACTTTCTAATTTTATTTAAATAGTTTCACCTAAAGGCTTCAGCTTGATCTCTGAAAATAATTTAACAGTTTTTTTTAAAGAATCTTCTAATTCACTGCTATTTGCTGCATATGATTTACATTTAAGCAGCCATTTATGTGAAATGAAGCACATCTGATCAGTAGATTTATACAGGAAGTTCTTTTAGCTCCTCTGGATCTGGAGTGTGAAAGTTACAGAGAAGGATGCTAGCTATGAAGACGTGAGACACTGAGAGGACTAAGGAGAGTACAAGGAGCTTCATGAGCTGCTGAAAAAGTAATTTGGCATTAAACAGCTGTGTTGGAACAGAGAAACAACTAAAACATGCTGGATAGTGGATCTCCTGGATCAGGATTGGTTATACCCACAATAGAGTTTTTGACTAGGTTGTTCAACAAGGTACAGGTAGAGGAGAAGCAAGCGAGGGGGAGATTTGTGCTGGAGAAGAGAGGAATGAAGTTTAGTTATAAATGAGAAGGATTCAAGAGGAACTGTGATGTTACAGAGAGTAGAAGGCAGGGGACTTTGGGTATAGGGTCTATTGTCCCAAAGCAACAGAGTGTGTGGAAAAGAGATGAAGAAGTATGTGTAAAAAGGTTTGAATAGGTGGAGAAACATGCCAGGTGATTTGTGATAAAAGGGTTTCGACAAGAATGAAAGGAAAGGTGTAGAAGACAGCAATGAGAGCAGCCATGTTGCCTGGTTTAGAAACAATGTCCACGAGACAGGAGGCTGCAGAACTCAAGATGTTCAGGTTCTCTTTGGGAGTGACGAGGATGGACAATATCAGAAATGAGTCAGTCAGAGGGACAGCTCATGATGTTTTAGAGATAAGGTCAGAGAGGCCAGACTGAGATGGTTTGGACATGTCTGGAGGAGAGACAATGATTACATATGTAGAAGGACACTAAGGTTGGAGCCACCAGGCTGAAGGCTGAAACAAAGACCAAAAAGGAGATTTATGGATGCAGTAAAAGAGGGCATGAAGTAAGGTGGTTTGAGGTGAAGGATGCAGAAGAGAGGACTAAATAGAGACAGATGATTGGCTGTGGCGACTCCTGACGGACAAGTCCAAAGAAAAAGGAGGATATGCAGCTTGAAATTCGTGTGAGGTGAACTAACAATGTCAGATGAAAACTGAATGAAAATTCAGAGGAAACTTGTTCCTCTGGTTCAGCCTTCTCTCCACACCTTAAACCATGTCTTATCAGTGTTAAGATAAGCTGACAGTTACTGGAATATTTCCTTAAAGAGAGACAGGCGAACATGTTTCAGCACAAGATGTATTATTCAGGCCCGCCGATGGGGGGGGGGGGGGTCTGTTGTCCTGGGCCCAGGGTAGGAGGGCGACCCATCTAATGATGTCATCCCAGGCCTAGGCAAGGTTATCAGCTGGCCTGGTATTAATGTATAAAGTCTATTAAACAATATTTTTCTACATTTTGAACAGAGAAGATTTTAAGGTCTGAACACTGTGTCTCCTCCGTCCATGTAGCCATTCACATGGTGGCCCATCTGCTGAATGTGGAGTGGTACAACAACAGCAGACAAGGCGTTTATGATGAGCTCAGCACTACCCTGTCTGATCTGGCAGACATGGAAAACACCACCTACCTGAACCCCATCCGTACCACCAACCTCGTAAGTCACCGTGGTAACTGCTATTTCAGCATCGAACAGGACAAATCTAGAAGCTTTCTGGGACTTTTTTTTTCTGAAATGCCTGCAATGCTTTCCTCAGAACCCACAGCAAATTCCCCTCTACTTTGCCTTCACCTCCATCGCTGGACTCACAGGAATCATCATCACTCTGGCACTTATCCTCATGATCACTTCCTCCATGGAGGTCATCAGACGCAGCTACTTTGAAGTTTTCTGGTACACACACCATTTATTTGTCATCTTCTTCGCTGGTCTCGTCATCCACGGAATTGGGTAAGATATGCAGTATTACTTCTACTGGAACATTGTTCTTGTCAGGTTTAAATGTGTGCGTCTGATTTTCAGAGGCATTGTGAGGAGACAGAGCAATATGGAGGAACACAACTTTACTCTTTGTAAAGACCAGGCTGATGATTGGGGAAAGATTCCTGAATGTCCCAATCCAGAATTTGAAGGAGGACCTGCTGCGGTTTGTACTTTTCTGCATGTTTTTCTTCATTGCTGTAACTGTCAGTACAACAACGGCTTCAGTGTAAAAGATTAAATTGCGATCATGATTATCACTCTTCTTTTTCCAGACATGGATGTGGGTACTCGGCCCAATGATCATTTATGCAGCTGAGCGCTTGCTGCGTCTAATTCGATATGTGCAGAACGTCCAGTACAGGAAGGTAAAGTGTGATAATTTAGTTAATCTTCGCTGTGCTTGGCTGTTCTGTTGTTTATCTCCCTGTGACTGCTTTATTTTCAGATTGTGATGCGACCATCCAAAGTGCTGGAGCTGCAACTGGTGAAGAAGGGCTTCAAAATGGAGGTGGGTCAGTACATCTTCCTCAACTGCCCAGCCATCTCTCAGCTGGAGTGGCATCCATTCACCATGACCTCTGCCCCTGAGGAGGACTTCTTCAGCGTCCACATCCGATCAGCTGGAGACTGGACTGACAAACTCATCGAGATCATGCAGAAATTGCCAGAGGGAGCACAAGGACCCAAGTCAGTTTCTTGATTAAAAAAAAAAAAATCATGGGGGACAATTTATGAATTTTGTTTTAGTTATAATAGTTTTATGGTCTATACAAAACAATTTCATGAAGTTTTTTGCAGAAAATCACTCTCATTAAGTGATTTCAGCTGTTTATTCCTTGACTGTTTCAGTACCTTCCAGAATGAGCCGTTTCAGGGCTCTGTCACTTTAAGAAAACAAGCAATTACTGGCCATGCCCACATATCCTCTGATAGGTTGGGGCCAGGCATTTATCACACATGAAATTAAAAACTAAGACATTTTTGCTAAATGTTTCTGGGACATGACCATCAAACATTAGGCCCTAGCTCCGCTCCCAGCTTATTGATGAAGCTGTGATAGTGAGAGCCTGTTTGGGGAAAACACGCCTCAGAGGAACCATATAATGTGAAAGCAAAAATCACCAAACACTGAGCCTTGAGGTGCACCACTGGTCACATTCAGTGACTAAAACGAGTCTAAACATTTACATTTTCTTTAATGTTAACTGCATTTTTAAAGTCAGGAGTTTATTCTCCATGAATAACTGAATCCGTTCTGCATCCGTCTTCAGGATGGGTGTTGATGGACCCTTTGGAACAGCCAGTGAGGACGTGTTCGATTATGAGGTCAGCATGCTAGTTGGTGCTGGCATTGGCGTCACTCCCTTTGCTTCCATCCTTAAATCCATCTGGTACAGGTTCAAAGACAACGATCCCAAGTTACGTACCAGAAAGGTGAAGCTGCTCACATTCAGACTGACTTTCAAACCCACTACATCACACTGAAAAGCTGCTGCAGCCAGATCGATGACGCAACACTTGTTAAATAATGGCCAGTGTTTGTTTTTGAAACCGCACCTGTATGAGTGGATGATTCATCAACAGCTACTTTGTGAGAGGATTATTATTTAACACACTCAAATTCCCTTTCAGATCTATTTCTACTGGCTTTGTCGGGAAACACATGCCTTTGAGTGGTTTGCTGACCTGCTACAGTTGCTGGAAAAAGAGATGGAGCAGAGAGGCCTCTGGGATTTCCTCACATATAAACTCTTCCTGACTGGATGGGATCAAAGTCATGTGAGTGTGAATCAGTCGTCTGAAGTCCGGATAAAACCACAGTTCATTACTTTGCAAACAGAGCTGTTATCTCTCTTTTGTTGCAGGCTGATCATGTGATGGTTCACTTTGATGAGGACACAGATGTGGTCACTGGACTTAAACAGAAAACTCACTATGGTCGGCCCAGCTGGGACAAAGAGTTTGAGCAAGTTCGCAGAGACAACCCTGCGTAAGATTTGTTTTTCAGTTAAAATACACTCCGTTTTTACAAAAATGTCCCATTGAAACACATGTAAGGAGAGCATAAGTCAAAACATTTATGATCTGCATTTTTCTTAGAATAAATGCGTTTAAACAACTCACTAAAAATGAGTTTTAATAAGTTGTTTACTGTTTTATTTCTACATAAAACATTTTCATAAATGAATTGCTATGTATTTATTTGTTCTGTAAGTTTTGTTTTAAAAACACTCCAAATGTAATACTGATTTGTTTTGGGTACTTCTTAGTGACTCAACTTTAGAATTTAATAGGGAACAAATCTAAAAATATTCTAACACCTTCAACAGGTTTTGAAGTTTTAACAAACCAACTATTTGTGCAAAAATCAAATGTACTTGTTGGTGTAGTTATTAACCTGCTATTTTCCCCTTTGAAATGTGGAATTTGAAAATTTTAAATATGGCAGATATATTATTTATGTTTTCCTTCAGATCGGTGGTGGGAATGTTCCTGTGTGGCCCTGCTGCTCTTGCAAATGTTTTGGAGAAGAAATGTGGCAAATACTCAGACGTTGATCCTCGCAGGACCAAATTCTACTTCAATAAGGAAAACTTCTGAGGCAAAAACATCAACTGAAGCGTGTTTTTTCTTTTGAAGGAGAGTAAAGTGAGGAATTCCTTTCACCTCAGATTATCCAATGATCGAAGACTGTAAAGGATCGCCTCTGGGTTTGTTACCTCATGGCTTACAGGAAGCCAACTCCATTGCTTTGTTTTGTGTCATTACAGGTGTGGCATTGAGTTTTACTGCTACAAGAGGTCTAGGAAACATGAAATTGTAATGCATGATGGGAACTTGGTCCAAATACTCAAAAAAACATGTATAACATTTTTTTCATTATGTTGATTAAATCAACTTTAATCAAGCATTTTGACTGATTAAAAGCTGTAAATATTTTACCAATAAAATACTCGTCACAGGAAACATCTACTGAGCTCTACATGTGTCGGCCATTCAAGATCTTAATTACTGTCACACTTACTGTTAAGGATCCTAGTTTTCTGGAAACAGACAATGAACTATTATGAATTACCAGTATTTCCTTGTTACCGGTTACATTCTTTAGTATTTCTTCATCAGACATTATGGAAAAATAAAAAAGCAGGCAAAACCACACAACAGGTTCTAATTATGCTCTTAAGGTGTGGGAGATTATTTATTACCTTTTGTTTTCACAGGCTGTTTTTAATCTTAAATCCTTTTCAATAAAAGAATAGAGTGTGCATTCTCTTGTTTTATTTATTGTTTATTGTATCCAGAATTAAGACAACAGTACCCTCTAAAGAAAACTTGTTTCATCTTTTTGGGTCCATTTGCAACCGCTCGCTGTTTAAAAGCATCAGCCTTATGGAAGGTGCTCTTAGTTTTGAACCCATTACACCTTCATACAAAACAGATGAGAAGAAAAAATGCAGATAACGAAGAAAAAAGAAGACTTCAGGCTTGTTGAAGCTGGTGGATCAGGACAGTCTGCACATCCTGACCTAAAGGAAAGGGCAAAAAACAACTGTCTTTAAAAAAGAAAAAAGAAAACGAACAACAGGGAATGATGCTGCCAGAAGTACGTCAGCTTCGCCTTCTCAGGAGTTTGATGACTCACAGAATCAAGGCGCCCCACTGGCTGTTCTCTGAATCTGCTCTTTGAGGATGAGGATGCTCTGTCGCTGCTCTGGGGGCAACATGGCGATCTGTTCTGAGGTCAACTGTAGGACCTGCATGATTAGGGCAGCCTAAACCAGGACAGAAACAGAAAAACAATCATCTACTGTAATAATTGATCCAGGTTGATCAGAACCTGCAGTGATGGTTCCAGTTCACCCACCTTCTCTTGGTCCTGTGTGGAGACCTGACTTTGTCCTGGGCTGAAGCCTCCTCCTGATGGGGGGACACCAGAAAGGCCAGGACCCTGCACAACAAACAAGCTCTTATTGGGAATTACAAACCTACTGATTTCTGCATAAGCTGTTTGACAGATGAGTCAGACTGATTTGAGTTCATATTTACAATCAAATAAATCTTTTCGTTTTGTGCACAAACAGAAAACAAGGACAGACCAAAAAATGCTGTTAGATGACCAAATTAATAAGTGTCAAATTAAAGAGCTGTTACCGGTCTTGCAGCTTGAGGAGCATTTGGTGGCATACCATGAGGGACAGGGCCTTGCATACCCTGCACCATGGCAACCCTCTGACCCGCCACTGGTCCACGAGTATCCATCGCCCGTGGATCACGGCCTGGAAGTAGAAACAAATGTCGTCCAGTCAGCCAAACTGATCTGAGGTCTGCAACAAATCTGCATAAATACAGTGCCATAGAGATATTATGGTTCTACCTCTGGTTTCCATTGGCGGTCCTCGAGGCTCCATCATTGGGGGTCCTCGTGGATCAATCATCATGGGTCGTGGTTCAGCCATCGGAGGTCCCCTCATTTCTGGAGGGGGGGCACCTCCCATTTGTGGTATATGTACAGGCGGAGCTTGGTGAGGGGGCGGAGCTCCCATGTAAGGACGACTAAATGTACACATTGCATTAAAAACCATTTTAATCTGGTAAAAAAAAATCCTACAAATGGTGTCTAAAGCTAAAATGGTCGATGCTTTCTCATTTACATGAATTTCTAATTTTAAAGTAATATTCCCGGCTAGCTTGGGCCTGAATACACTGGAGCCGATTTAATCTAAACGTGTTAAAAGACGTAAAAGCTCTAGCTCGTGCTCCAAAAGCCCACAGCTATTGAGCTAAAGTGAATCAGGTAAACAGCTTACTTGGGGTCGATGACATCATTGGTGACATTCAACAGAGTTCCTCCTCTGGGATCATTGGGACCATCTCCGAGCAGCCCTCTGGGGGGAATACCGCCTGGTCCTGAGGAGAGGAAACCACACGCTCAGCTTTTTGAAATTATTTAAGTGCAAAAACAACTCTGTCTCTAGAGGAGTTGAAATGTCAGACAGACAAAAGGAGTTTGTTAATTATCAGCCTAAGCACACAGGCGTTCAGGGACAGGACAGAAAAAAAAAATTCCAATTTCATTTAGAAATGACCCAAAAGTCTAAAAACACAAAAACTTATATTAAAACAAGAAACCAGACATGAAATTGTCTGATTAAAACATATAAACGACAGCAAGCATGGAGAGCTCAACAATGATAATTGTTTCAGTCTGTAGAAAGTCTGGCTTAATTTAAAACACTTTGATTGTTACTGATCATAGATCCAGAATCAGAACACCTTCTGGCTGCTAAACAAGAAGTGCAGCTGTAATAGTGCACACCCGCATGCACGGATTGAAAGAACTCCATCTGGAAATGTTAGATTCAAATAAATAAGAAAAAGGTTGTTCAACCATCACATCCTTTATCTCACTGGGCACTTTATTAGGCTCACCTCGACAGATCCAACAAGGTGTTGGAAGCAATTCTCAGAGGTTCTGGTCCTTATTGACATGACATCATCACACAGTTCCATCCATGATAAGAACCTCCTGTTCTACCACATCCCAAATGTTCTGGACTGGACTCAGATCTGGTGATTGTGGAGGTCTTTGAAGTCCAGTGAACTCATGCTCATAGTATAGAAACCAGTTAGAGATGATCTGAGCTTTGTGACAAGGTGCATCATCCTTCTGGAAGTTGCCATCAAAAGATCGGTCCATGTGGTCATAAAAAGATGGACATGGTCAGCAACAATACTCAGGTAGGCTGTGATGTTTCATCCAGGCTCAGGTGGTACTGGTGGTTCCACACTAGAGCTGGCTCCACTCAGCCTGGCCGGGTTGATTACATGCATCTTTAGGAATGCGGATGCGATTGAGCATATGGGTGGTCTCCCAAATTGGCTCAAAGATGTCATGAGCACATCTCTAAGTACATGGGTGGGGCAACGACCTGCAGAGAAGTCCACTGTGTATCCCTTAAATGAAACAAAGGTGGCTATGAGGAATGTTACTTTTGGAGACAAACTATTTAGAGACTCTGGTATTGCATTGTGCTCTGCTGTGTCTGTCCTGGCACAGCTCATGCCCGGCAGAGCTGTCTGTGTATGTGTGCTCTTCAGAGAGAGACAGAGAAAAAGAGACAGCTTCAGTTAGAGGCCTTGTTTCCTCCTCAGTGTCCAGAATGATAATGACTCGCTTATACTGGAAGCCCCCGCTGGCTGATTCTACCCGTCAATCGGAGGCTCCCCCTAATGGTAGGCGTGAAGTTGAGTCGGCCAATCAGTCGGCAGTCGGTGTTGGACCAGTTCAGCCTGACCAGACTGCCTTGGGAAGAGGGCTGGAAAAACAGACCAACTTCCCGTGGAAAAAAATCCAGGCTATGTGGATGTGAAAATTTCCTACTGTACCCAGGCAGGATAGAGCCAGCGCTAGTGTGGAAGCCCCATAAAAGGTCCGGAGTGGGAGCAAAAAGGCCTAATCCCAATACTTGCACATCCACATTTACGCCCTTCAATCGCACGATCCCAACCAGGGGTGCGAGTGCGCAGGGAGTCCCAATTCTCAAGTGCAGAAGTTGATCACTCTCCTTTTGCACCCTTGATCCGCACTTCACCAAAGTCTGCATGGATGTGGACTTGGGTGAAGTGTATTACCCACAATCCATTGCTGAGGGAGAAGAGGCTCAATTCTTTTTCTGAACATGTACTTTCTAATGAAAGTAGCTAATTTTAGGAAGGTTAGTTGATGCTCTAAAACTTTTAGACAAAGCAGTAACTAATGTAAAATTATTTCAAATAGTTGTTTGAATGTTGTTTTTATTTATTTTTTTAAGTATTACAGCGACCAGCATCCCGGCAAGTATTGCGATTGATGGCCCAATGCTCCCTGTCTCAATTCAGCAATTATTTGCAAATTTGTACCACGTACTCGAAGCCTTACTGCACACTTCCTCCAAGTGCACTTTGCTGAAGACCAGGGTGCAGTGCGAGTTTTGGAATTGGGCCAATATCTCCCCACACTATTACACCATCAGGAGCTTGATGCATTGACACATGGCAGGATGGGTCTACGTTTTCATGTTGGTAACACCACATTCTGACCAAATCATCTGAATGTTGCAGCTGAAACCCAATCTCAGACCAGGAAACATTTCCTAGTCTCTTCTGGTCCAGTTCTGGTGATTCTATGTGAACTGTAGCCTCAGTTCTCTGTTGTTAGCTGACAGGAGAGACACCTGGTGTGGTCTTCTGCTGCTGGAGTCCAGCTGCTCCAAGATTCACCCTGTTGTGGTTCAGAACTGCTGTTGCTTTTTCATCCACATAACTCCTGCTCACCGGATGCTTTTTCTTTTTGAATAATTATCTATAAACCCTAGAGGTGGTTGTGGGTGAAAATCCCAAAGTCTCTGAAAAACTCAGACCATCCCATCTGGTGCCAACGACCATGTGATGTTCAGAGTCACTTAAATTCACTTTCTCCTCTATTCTGATGCTCAGTTTGAACTTCAGCAGGTCATCTTCACCACTTTCAGACATCTAAATGCATACTGCCATGTGACTGGCTGATTAATTATGTGTTAACCAATGGAACAGGTGCGCCTAACAAAGTGACCAGTGAGTGCATATTATAGTTCTAATCATTACCATTGCTAGTAAGTATTAGTGGTAGCTAAAAGCCCCGTCTGGGGACGAGCCTTGCAAATGAGCCTCTGGTGTAGAATACTTGTTAAAACCAAACAATTACCTTCATGCATGCATAACTAACTAATTAACGGGGTTTTTGTGCACACACTTAGTATTTAAGAATGATGTTGTAGTGTTCATTAGTTGGCATCCTGGCATCTTTAGCAGCTGTGTCACACTTGTGTTGAAGGAATTTATTCACATCAGTGTTTGCTGCTTTGTTTTCTCAGAAGGTGTTTGTCTTCCAGACATTTATTTTACATGACCTGGAGAGCAGAGGGAAAGCCAAATCGTCTTATAACAAATTACTAGGAGTTTTAACAACATTAAATAAAATTTTAATAAGCCTAGATTAAGAATAATAAAAATGATTTAAAACTATTGTGTTCCAGTTCTGTATATTCCATGGCAACGCACATTGTTCTGAAATTCTGATAATGCTGACCTCCCGTTTGTTTCATGAGCAGGGATGACAAAAATACTAGATGCAGGGTGTCTAAATGGTGCACAAAAAAGCAAAAATGCAGTCTGCAAACAAGTGGAAAACCAACACTGATCCCACGATTTGCCTTGCATTTGGACAGCAGCACAATGATGGAGGACAGCAATACCTTGAGGCCGCTCAATAGCAGCTGGTCCGGTCGGTCCTGTGGGAGAATGCTGTAGGTTTCCTGAGCCAGCGTTAAGAGTGGAAAGAACAGGAGACACACGTCTCAAGAGAGCAAAGCAGCAGTTTGGAGCTAATGAAGTCATTTCATGCACACACATAAAAAAACAGGCTTTAAAGAGAGAGTGTTTCAGAACTAGAGTGTTACATGTGTTACATAGACAGAAATCAGCAAATGTTTGAGAGCAGGATGAAGACTAAACATTTTATTTACTACTGAGAAGCTTTGCTGATGGTTAGTCATTAGCTGAGGCTCTAGTGACACCTAGTGATCATGGAGAAGCATGACAGGGTAAAGCTTTGGCAGAAAGTGGATTCAGAATGTGTTCAGACTCTGAATTTCTGCACATTTTATTATTACCTGCTTTTATTTAGACAACATTTAGCATTTTTTTAAAACTCCATGCAGTTACCCTAATCTAGCCTAAAATTACCAGGCTCCGGCTTGTCTCAAAACTAATTTTTCATGACTTATTTTATGGAGATGAAATGAGTTTCCATTCTGCATAGGAAACCTGGTTCTTCGGGCTGAGCTCCAACCATTAATGGGATCTTCATGTCATCTCTGGAACCAAAGCTCTTACGTATTTAGTTTCTTCTAGGAAAAAGCTTGGTGGCTACTCGGCTTCACTGAGTTTCTGGATGTTTCCAAGCTTTAGAAAATGATGCCCTGCTATGGATCTACATCAGTGTGTGAAGAATCCACCTTAAGTCATTACTACAGTTTAATGAGAGTTGGTTGACAAATGTGATCTTTAGGATAGGATTACTACACTTGTTCAATCTCCAACCTATCAGCAGCGGTAACCATGGTAACCATTTTATAAATTAGTAACAACATAACTACAGCTCTGTCTGTGCAGACAATTTGCAGCAAAATGCCAGCAGCTGATTCATGTCAGCATCCGTTCACAGACGACAGTCCACAGAGATTCGGTTCAGCATGGATGTCTCTTTGGACTCAACGTCATGGACATGTGGCACTTTAGGCAGAAAACCTGTCTGCTTTAAGACGCATCTGTACAGACTCAACCAGCATCTTAAACTACCTCCTAAAGTGATCACAGATTAAAAGATGCAGATTTAAACGAAGAAGACCTAGAAGAATCCTGGCTGATTCCAGTTAGGTTGACACAAATCTGACATAAAAAGCACTTTTAAAGAATATTTTCTCTTCATTGGAAAATAAAGAGGATTCTGATACTTTGTGAATCTACAGCAAGAGGGTAAATAGTTTTAAAACAACTAATTTATTAAATAAAGCCTGAATAGGTAACAATTTACTCCACAAAATGGCAACACACAAAAATTAAACTTGAAACACAAAAGAAGCTTTTCCCCCAAAATGTAGTTTAAACATATATCCTGAATATATATTATTGAGTTTTTACTTACTCCAAACTACTTATATTTGCTCAATCAGCCAATTAACATCAACTTAACAGCAACAAAAGATGAGAACCTGAGCTACAGAGTGACAATAGAGCAGATATCATGCTCATGAACAACCTAACCAGCACTAACAACAAAAATCACAGACTAATAAAAAACGGACATACTGATCTTTCAACATCCATTTCTCGTAGTTATTACCTGGTGGTCCAACAGGTCCAGGTCCAGGTACAGGTCCGGGTCCAGGTCCTGGTCCTGCCATTGGTCCAGGAACACCCATGTTGGGGGGCTGCATCATCTGAGGAGCTCCGTTGACATGCATGCCAGGCTGATCGAAAGAGAAAGTAAACATTTATTTACCCAACTTCAAAATAACATCACCTAAATATTTCTTTCAGTGAAACACTTAACTAAAAAAAATCAATTTTATTATTAAACCTCATAAATGATAAGCTGATTAACAAATAATTATATTTACAAAACTGACATAAGCTTGGCTCACTCTTCATGTTCATACATGTCCAGGAGCCATATTGTTTGGTTATTTATTCTACAATAAAATATGTTTAGTCTGATTGGATATCAGGGTATCTGCAGGTTTAAGGGAGCCAAATTTAAGACTTTTTAAGACCTTTTTTAAGGCCACTTTGACCAAATTTAAGCAATTTTTTAAAATTTAAGCTATAATTCCCAGCTATTGCCTGGAACCGATGCTAACCACGTCGCCAACGTGGGATTAACCATCCAGTTACCATTAAACTTGCACTTCCCCATGGCGCAAGCTCCCACTAGCTTAACCAGCTAATGTGCTCATCTAAAAATAGCCCCCTTTCGCAACCAACTGAATGTGTACGGTTCCGCTTACGTCAAGATCGTACGCAAAAAATGCTGAACACTAACTAGAAATTTATGAAAATTTTATAGAAATAAAAGAATCTTGTTTATTGGGTCTTTGGACATTTAAGACCTTTGGAAACTGTATTTAAGGATTATTTGTCATTTTTAAGGATTTTTAAGGCCTTAAATTTGGAAAAGCAAATTTAAGACTTTTTAAGGACCCGCGGATACCCTGGATATGTCTCATAAAGACCACCATCTTCACCTGTTGGACACTTAACAGTTTGACTATGAGACTATTACTAGGCTGTAATCTGCCTGTTTAAAGGGTAGTCACAGTGCAGTTTGGCTTTAGGGTGTGTAACGGGCTCTGTATGCAACTATAGAGGGAACAGGCGTGAGTGAGTGAGTGTGAGTGAGTAGCTAAAACTAAGCCACAGGTCTAGGGACAGTTGGTAGGAGGGAGAGGAAAACAAGGGATATTAGCAGACCTCTGCATTGGAACTGGGGTCTTGCAAGATTCACAAGACCCAACACAAATCTAGCAGATACAGGTGGCTAAAATTAACCACAAGTCCCAAGATTATTGTTCAGATGGTGAGTACAGCTGAGGGTGGTACGGTAATTGAGACTGGTGAGGATAAAACGTGAGAAAAGGATGGAAATATCTGCCAGTTTGTTCTTCTGAAATATAACACTTTATGCATATAAGTGTTTGATCCTAAAGGACAAGTCTTTGTTTTGTTAATGAATGGGTTTGAGATTGGATGAAAATATTGCAAGAAAGCACAGTAATGGTCAGAGAATCAGCCGAAGTGGATTTTAAAGCTTCCTGTGTAGGCCTCTAGCGTGTACCACTCTGAACATGGACTACAGACAGCCGAGGACAGCGTTGTCTCAGGAGATTAGATGGACAATGATTTGTAACACTAATGGGGAAAAAGAGAAAAAAAAAAACAGAGAAACCTGTGAATGGGGGTGATGCTGTGACAGATGAAAAAAGCACAAAATAAGAAACTTTGGATAATGTTAATATACAAAATGTACAATCTGATTTTTAAACTTTATTAAAAACAAACAAGTCAACCTAATTCTACTTTACCACCCCAGACAAATACCCAATAGGCTCATTTGATTTTCTTTCATCCCTCTGGTGGAGGTGCACCACCCTGCAGAATAAATACCAACAAGCTCTGAAGCTGCTATAGCAGAACATCAAAGCCCAAGCACCCTATAAACCGGGTTTTCACACATGAACACCTGAGATCGCTGGGAGAGGGGAGGCGCTGCCCATTCTCACAGCAGATTCTCTGTGTTTTTAGAAAAGGAAACACTTCAGGAATAAAGTGTGTGTGTGTGTGTGTGAAAGACAGGACAAGGTGTTAGATCAGACTTGAAATTCTCTCTTCACTTGATCTGGTTTACACTTAACTGATAATTGCTTTAAAAAACTGCAGCAATAACAACGAACTAGCACAAAATATAAACGTAAATGTCACTGTGAATGTAACTATTTTATTCATGCTACAGCTGATATCTTCCAGACTTAAAGCTAGTTATGTGGGCTCTGCCAAAGACAGGGCCTGTGCTATTTGATGACTTGTTACATGCAGCGCTTCTAGAAAAGATTGAGAAAGAAAAAATGTTAAATGACAAATTACCTGCACATGTACATCACCTTTCAGAGTCCGAGGACTCCAAAGGACTTTACACTACACTGCATCATTCATCCATTCACATACATTCACATGCTGGTGATGATGAACAAAACCTGACAATCAGCCTGAATAACTCTGCAATAAAATCAAGATGTGGTGTGAATACGGCTGCTATGTTTTCATATTTTCTCACATTCCTTCTTTAAAGATAAGATGTGTAGTTTCAGTGTTTCCCTTACATAGGCGTAGCCGTGGCGGCCCGCCACGGCTGAAATCCCAGCGCCACGCCTGCAAGATCCTGTTTTATAGATTTTTTTTGCGCTGTTTCCCGAAGAAGCAGCGGGAACTACTCTGTTGTTGCTTGTGATCACAGCCGGCAGGCAGCAAGGAGGAGGAGGCAGGGCAGGGTGGTTACAGCTAGGGATAAGCCGCGGATAAAGCATTTTTGACTAATACGAGCAAGAAACGAGTAAAACTCGTAAATATCTGTAATCGTGCTGAAGAAAAATCCTCATTGGGTAACTGACTGCCTTCACGCTCTGCGATTGGCCAGTCAGATGGAGCGCCCGCCCCTCCCTACACACAAAACTCTGCTCCGGCCCACGCACACACACAGACAGCAACGGATCTCTGTGCTTGCTTCACTGTTGCTCACGTTTCTTCAGTACTCCCTAGGTTTTCTTCAGCTCGCCTCTTTTTCAGTTGAATATTTAAAGTTACTTTTTTCGTAACGTATGTTGTGCATTTGACAAGACAGAGCTGAAAACGGCTCATGCACGCGTCGGTCACTGCCTCCGCTCCGGTCGGGTTTTTTAAATTATTTTCTTCCAGTGAGGAAGCAGAGTCTGGGGACTTTGGGTTGGCCTCTCAAATCTCTGGTGCTGAGGTCACTGAGGTGGTTCAAAAGCTCCTCTGTGGCAAGGCTCCAGGGGTGGATGAGATCTGATCGGAGTTCCTTAAGGCTCTGGATGTTGTGCGGCTGTGTTGGCTGACTGCAATATCGCGTGGACATCGGGGGCAGTCCCACTGGACTGGCAGACCGGGGTGGTGGTCCCCTTATTTAAAAAGGGGGACCACAGGGTGTGTTCCAACTACAGGGGGATCACACTCCTGAGCCTTCCTGGTAAGGTCTATTCAGGGGTTCTGGAGAGGAGGGTCCGTCGGATTGTTGAACCTCAGATTCAGGAGGAGCAATGTGGTTTTCGTCCTGGCCGTGGAACACTGGACCAGCTCTATACCCTTAGGGGGATCCTGGAGGGTGCGTGGGAATATACCCAACCAGTCTACATGTGTTTTGTGGATTTGGAGAAGGCGTTTGACCGCGTACCTCGGGGGCCCTGTGGGGGGTACTCCGGGAGTATGGAGTACCAGGCCCTCTGATACGGGCTGTTAGGTCCCTGTATGACCGGTGCCAGAGCTTGGTCCACATTGCTGGCAGTAAGTCGGGCTCGTTCCCAGTGAGAGTTGGACTCCGCCAAGGCTGCCCTTTTTCACCGATTCTATTCATAATCTTTATGGACAGGATTTCTAGGTGCAGCCAAGGTGTGGAGGGCATCCGTTTTGGTGGCCTGAGGATCAGGTCTCTGCTTTTTGCAGATGATGTGGTCCTGTTGGCTTCATCAGAACGTGATCTTCAGCTTTCGCTGGAGCGGTTCGCAGCCGAGTGTGAAGCAGCTAGGATGAGAATCAGCTCCTCTAAATCTGAGACCATGGTCTTGATTCGGGAAAGGGTAGAATGCCTTCTCCGGGTCAGGGATGAGGTCCTGCCAAGTGGAGGAGTTTAAGTATCTCGGGGTCTTGTTCACGAGTGAGGGAAAACTGGAGCGTGAGATCGATAGGTGGATTGGTGCTGCATCTGCAGTGATGCTGTCAAGCTGAAGAAAGAGTCCTATCAGGTCTTTTTGGCCTGTGGGACTCCAGAGGCAGCTGACAGGTACCGGCAGTCCAAGCGGAACGCGGCTCAGATGGTACCGGTCTGTCGTGGTGTAGAGAGAGCTGAGTCAGAAGGCGCAGCTCTCGATTTACCGGTCGATCTATGTTCCTACCCTCACCGATGGTCATGAGCTTTGGGTAGTGACCGAAAGAACGAGATCACAGATACAAGCGGCCGAAATGAATTTTCTCCGAAGAGTGGCTGGGCTCTCCCTTAGAGATAGGTGAGAAGCTCGGTCATTCGGGAGGGGCATGGAGTAGAGCCACTGCTCCTCCACATCGAGAGGAGCCAGTTGAGGTGGCTCGGGCATCTGGTCAGGATGGCTCCTGGACGCCTCCCTGGTGAGGTTTTCCAGGCACGTCCAACCGGGAGGAGACCTAAAGGTAGACCCAGGACACGGTGGAGGGACTATGTCTCTCGCCTGGCCAGGGAACACCTTGGGATTCCCCCGGAGGAGCTGGCCCAAGTGGCTGGGGAGAGGGAAATCTGGGCCTCTCGCCTTAGGCTACTGCCCCCACGACCAGTCTCTGGATAAGCGGGCGGGCGGACGGACGGAAAGTTATTTTCTTGTTGAAACAGTTTTTTCTGTTGGTGTGCTTCTGCTAAAAACTGAATTTCCCAGAGGAAACTCCCCGAGTGATTAATAAAGTTCTACCTGAATTTAAATCTAACGTGCATCCATTTCCCACTTACCACAGGCTGAGGCTGAGGCACCGGAACGCTGGGCTGAGCAGGAGCAGGAGCAGGATTGACAGGTGGAGCTCCTCCACCCTGTCCACTGGACACCAACGGCTGCACCGTTGTTTGACGGTGAAGCATTTTCTGTACACCCCAAAAACAAGTGGAGAGAATGTTTCAATACCAAATCAGGAGCTTAAACTGTAATTATTCTAATTATAAGCATTGTGGTCAAGATTAACTCATTGGTAAGATTTGTGAGATTTCCTCATCCTCACCAGAGCAATCTCAGGGTCGACGATTCTCATTACGACCTGAGCCTGTAGCAGAGCATAGGCCAGCTGAGGGTTCTGCAGCAACATGTTCCTTGCTTCCTGGGGACTGTTTTGCACACACAGCTGGGGGAAGAAAATCCTTTAAATCTTCAAAAGTTAAAAACAGAACAATGACAATAAAAATCTCAGGTCCACAATAAAACACTAATTACCCTACTTTACATCCATCCCCATCTCCATTTCATTTCACACAATTTGACAAGTCTGTAACATCTTTGCAGAACAATAGACAAAGGTGTGCATAGAGATTTGTAGTTACCAATTCAAAACAGAAGCCCAAAACCCCCTCAGGGATCAGCTTCAGCACTATGGAGCAGTCCAGCTAGCAGGAGCTCTGGGGCAACAAAACACTTTCCCAATTGGGGGGGAAATATCAGCAGTGGGAAGTTTTCTTGGACTTAATGAAGCAGACTACCAACTGTGCAAAGAGAAGGTGTGTTTGGCAGCTGAGACAAACTGGCTGCACAGCACTAGTGCATAAAATGGCCATTTTTCTGCAGCTGTAAGGTGCTTTGTGTGACAATTTATATACATGCCATTATACAGTAAGCAGCATCATTATAGTCTAACTATTTTAGATTGCTTAATTTCAGTTCCAGTTTTCTACTTTAACTCTTTACCTGCCTACAAGTCATGTGATAGTTTGTAAACACCAACAAAACGCATATTGTTCAAAGTCAAAAACTTAGTTTATGCTAGATATTTATCATTGGCCTTGAGTAATAGTTCTGTGTTTTTATCTTTTCTTTGAATGTTCAATGGGTTTGTCATTCAATTTTAGCTATAGAACTTTAAAATTCACAGTTTTAATTGGAATAATGTTTTTCTTTGTAATTCTGACTTATATATCATGTAGAATAAATACATTCCTAACTCAAGAGACTAGCCAGTTTATATATATATATATATATATATATATATATATATATATATATATATATATATATATATATATATATATATTGTGTGTGTGTGTAGTGAATATAGTGTAAAAGTCCATTTAACTCAGTAATTCAACTTAGACTGAGAGACCATCTAATGGCTCAGGAACCCTAAGCATTTTGTTATTTGCAGCTTGTTACAGAGTTGATTTATATTACTGGGGTTTTAGATTACATAAAATCCTGTATTTAGAATAGCTCAGAAAGGATTAAAATGGACATGCATTTGATCAAATAATAGATTTAAAATTAATCTGGTCAGAAATAGAAAGACGTTTGCCAGGTGGTGTTTCTGTGAACAAAATCATAACAGAGGCGACAATTCCACCAACCTTCATCTGCTTCATGAGTTCAAACATCTGCTCAGGTGGGAGACTGGCCACAGCTCTGCTGATGGACTCTGGAGCCTCCGCTGGAGCAACGCTGTCCCCATATGGAGACTCAATAATAGGAGCTCCTGTTCCCAAACCTGCAGGAGGATACAAGCTGCTGCTTTGTACAAACATCTCCTAACACAAAACCACGCCTACTTTTAAAAATGTTAAGTAATGAAATGAGAAAAGCTTACTTTTAAGTTCTTCCTTGTTTTTCTCACTGGCTGCGTTGTCAACTCTAAGAGCTCGACCACTGAACTCTCTCCCGTTCAGGTTCCGCATGGCACTGAGGGCTGTCTCCTGGTCCTGGTACTCACAGAACCCATATCCCTTTGGCTTGCCTGTCTCTCTGTCATACACCAATCTAAAAAGACAAGTCAGTCATGATTATACACAGATGTAACCTCACTGAAAGGGGTTCTGTTTGCTTTAAAACTAGAGAAGGCATGTAAAAGTAATTTAAAAACTAGTCTAGGTCACAGCCTCCTGGGGGGTAAAGAGGATGTGTATTCATAGGTGGTTTCTGCTCGTTAAGCAACAATAGACAGCTACAGTTCATAAGCTTGACCCTCTCATTTTCCAGTGAGAAGTGACAAAGCTCCTCGGATCAGAAGCGAAACGTCTTCCAGCAACCAAATAAGTCATGTTGCTGTTGCCTTCATTCGAAACCCTTTAGATTAAAAACTAGTTCCTTCCTTCACTTACCTGAAACTGACAACAAGTCCGACTTCAGAAAATATGTCTTTCAGCTGCTCCTCTGTAGCTTCATACGGGATGTTTCCAACTAAAACAGCAAACAACATAAATATCGAAAATACGTGAATAACTGTATCAATTTCTTTGTCTCCAATAAATTGCCGATGTTTATGTTCATTTATTTGGCAGACGCTTTTATCCAAGCAACTTACAATTTATAACCTATAGGGCATGTTGTGATCTGTGGGGGGAAACCGGAGTACCCGGAGGAAACCCACGCATGAATGGGGAGAACACGCAACTCCACGCAGAAAGGCCGCAGCCGAGTTTCGAACCTGCAACCTTCGTGCTGCGAGGCAACAGTGCTAATGCAGCCACCATGCAGCCCCAACATTAAAGCAACGCTACTCAGAGCATTGTTGTCCGTTGGCCTCAATTCATGGGCCTGTTATTTTTCCAACTTATCACGAACCAATTAAATAAAACTTCACATTTACAAGAAAGGAAGAATATTAATCTTACCAAACACTGATCGTAAAGACCGGTCGACGGCTGGGTCTCTATTGGCGGCGGCAGCTGCGGCTGCAGCAACCACAGAAGACGCAACTATGTTCGCCATTTTGGGGACAGTGATTAGTGTGACACTAACGTATCGCAAGATGAGAACATCCGGTTGAAGAAAGGACCACATTTAAAATCAAACAGCGTGATCCTTCTCAACCTATTAGACATTATTTTTTCTCGCTTCTATATTTTTATATCATCCCATTGTACACATAACAAGCAATGACAAACACGTGCGAAGGAGAAATTAATATCGCTTTCCGACGGAACACAGGTGGCGCTGTTGCTACGGTAACCATTGGCACTGCCTTTTCCTGCGCTGAGGCTGAGATGGGCAGAAGGTTGAAAGTTTACTAACTCGTAATTCCCTTCTTAGACAGTAAATGGAGTACAAAGAGTTGCAAAGATGACACATAATTTCAGGTCAGTAATTAATATCTTTACTTTTAAATGAGCCTCTTAGCTAACAAATGTTCCTAAAACTAGCCGTTAAAATATGACGGGTGCTCTTGATTTTCAACTGTTAACACCTGTGGTGTTTGATAACTGCTAGAAGGAGCACATATTTGGAAAGTCAAAGCATTCGTTTTTATGTTGTGAACCTTTAGTGACGCTCTTAGTTTAAGAACTATTACATCGGCGGACGTGTGTGCACATACATATATATTTTCCTAATTACCCTTTTTGCAGAATTAGCAAAAAAAAAAAAAAAAAAATTAACAAATCTGGTATTTTCTACTGACCACTGATTTATTTAAATTGTTTGCCAGCTCACCCTTTGAATTACGAGTGAATTTTAAAGACAATTTTTGTGTTTGTGTTTAAAAATCCAACAAAAATTGTAGGTACTGAGCTTAGATTGAAAACAGCACATTTTCTAAAGTCTAGAGAACTACATTGTGTAGAATAATTGTCTCCCTCACTGGTTTCATCTAGTGTCCTTTTTTGTCACTTCTAAATGTTTCTGATCAGCAAACATACATCATCGGACAAAGATAACCTTCATAAAATACATTTTTCAATTGATGATGACAAAAATCTGTCTAAACTTGCATAGCTTTATGCAACAAAAAAAAAGAAAGAAAGAACATTTGTTATAGTTGTAATAAGTGTCATATCAGCCACATTGGAGTGTCAGGGTTTTGTGGTGAGGAGCAGAATTCATAGTTCCACCAGTAGAGTTGCTCAGGTGCTGATGTAACAGCATCCCCAGACCATGAAACTACCACCACGTTTGACTTTTAGGATGATGTTCTCTTTCTGAAATGGAGTGTTTTCTTATACCAAATGTAATTACACACCCATATCAAAATGTTTAAATTAGTTAGTCTAGAAACGTAGGACAGTAGCAGAAGTAAAATGATATTACTCTGCATGTCAGTCTAGCCACACTTCACTGGAACCTCCACAGCCCTGGCCAGTCTGGTGGTGTGCCGATCACAGTGCTCTATCAGTTGGCTCTTTGAGGTACTGCTTCTGTCAGTGCACCCCAGGGCAGCTGTGGCTACATCGCAGCTCATCACCATCAGTGTGTGAATGTGTGTGTGATTGTATGAATGATACACTGTGGTGTAAAGCGCTTTGGAGTCCTTACTCTGAGAGGCACTATACAAGTGCTTGTTATTTATCATTTATCATTTACTTAAGTCTTTTATTTAGAAAAAGGACATACCGGTATTTGCATCTTCTTCACCAGTGAATGGCGGACTGCCATGTTGACTGACATCTATAGTGGTGAGTTTGTTGTTCAATAGCATGCAGAGACTGAAAAACAACTGTAGACTCCACCGACTATTGAGATTTGTCAATGGGTTGTGGCCAGATATATTCACATGCATAGGATGGCGTGCCAGGCTAAAACTCTGTCTCTTCAGTCCATAAAATATTTTTCCATCAAGACTTGGGGATCATCAAGCTTTTGAATCAAAAGTGAGCTGGACCTTTCTTTTTGCTCAGCTAAAGTTTTGGCCTTGAACTGAACGTCATCATGAACTCAGACCTTAAGTCACCAAACCTCTAACAGATGTTTTTGGGGGTCCCTTTGTTCTTGAATGTCTTTAGAATTTGTCTTTATATATTTTATTAAATCTTTCAGCCCACTTTATATTGTCATACATGTTTGGTTAAAGTATTGTATTTATCCTACGTGATCTGGGCTGGGTGTGGCTGGTTAAAATGAACGCAGTTTACAAATGATGCAGTTATTTACAATTTATTATTTAGAAAGAGAGTCAATTACTTTATAATGTCGAGTTGCGTTGGTTTGGATATCTTTTTTGTTTTAATAAATGAAATAATCATTTGAAAATGGAATTTTGTATGCAGTCTTGAACTCAATGAATGAACTCAATCTTTGATTCTGTAATGTTTTTTACATTTAAAGAAAAAAGCAGAAAAGTATGTAAGGGGTAAATAGTTTACAAAGCAGAGTAGGGCTGCATGATATTAGGAAAACCAGTTATGCGCGATAACAGTGATTAATATTGCAGTGACAACATGACTTGCAAAAAATAAACAAATACATAACTCAAGAACAAAAAATAAAAACAAACTCATTAAAAAATGACTAAAAATATAAAATATTGGAAAAGCAAAAATTGTGATAAAAAGATGTGAGGAAAATGAAGATTTGGTGAATGAAGATGATGAAATTATGCATTAACATAATTGTTTCTAACTGGTAATGTGGTTTTAAAGCTGATAAATACATCAGATCTGAAAGAATTTGCTTTATTACAAAGTCATAAACAGTTCTGGTTATGCCTTCACACTTTATAGAAGTTTACACTTCCTAATGCATGTGAAAGTTACCAACAAAAGCAAGGTCCTGTGAGACTTAGGAGATCTTTCCAAGCTCAAAAACAAACCAAATTTGAATATGTCTGTATTATCTTTCTCTGGAAAATTCTCAGATTTTGACAGTAATAACATGTAAAAATATTCAAATTTTTAAAAAATCGTTGTTCCCTTGAAAAAAAAAGAATCCAACCTGTCTTTTGCTGCATTCATGCATTTTCCTGTTTCAGCTGCAAATGCTAAGTTTTACTTTGAAAATCCTGTAAAGTGTCATTGGAAACTAATACACACTAGCATTGGCTCTACTCTGCCTGGACTGGGTTTGGAGTGTTCTCATCTAAGTAGCCTTCCGTCACGTTCTGCGTCCTCGTCTCCTGTGTTCCCTCATGGTTCCCCTCCTTGTTGTGTCATTTACTTTGATTAGGTATTATTATGCCCCAGCCTTTCAGTGTATTTTGTTCTATAACTCTTTAGGTCATTAGTTTATTTATCTTTAGTGTCCCCTGTGTCCTTATTTCTAGTGTTTAGGTTTATTTAAGTTCAGTAACTTTTGTTTTACAGGTTTTAGGTCTGGTTTCCTCCCCTGCTTGGTTCTACTTCTCCCCACAGTTTATTAGTCCCACCTGTACCCAATTCCCTTAATCACTCAGCCCTGTGTATTTAAGCCCTGGTCTTGTCTTCTGTGTTAGTCGGTTCATTGTCTCCTGTCAGTGTGTTTGTAGCCTCCTGATTCCCAGTTCCAGTTTCTCTAGTTTCCAGCATTCAAGTTTTTCCCTCCTGTGAGTGATTTTGAGTTCTAGTTGGCTCCCTTGGTTTTGAGCCTTTTGTATTTATTTTTTACGTTTCTAAAAATAAAGACTTTGTTTTTTCACACCTCATCTCCTCAAGTGGTTCTGGGTTTCTGCACATTGGGTCCACCTTTCCCTCACCACGACACCTTCAATTTTCCTGCGTGCTACCGGACATCTTTTCAGCCCTCTTCCCGAGGCAGTCTGCCTGGAGCCGAACTGGTCCAATACGCCCACTGCTGACTGATTGGCCGGCTTAAAGTCATGTCTACCATTAGGGGGAACCTCCGATTGGCAGACAGAATTAGCCAGCGGGGCCTTCCTGCACACACACAAAGTTGTTTTCTGTCTCCCACTGCTGTGAGGAGCACACACACACAGTGCTGCCAGACTGCCAGACACAGCAAAGCATGATGCAATATCAGAGTCACAGAGTCTCCAAAAGCAAGACTACTCAGGCTGCTTTTGTTTAATAATGGAGACACCGCGCGTTCTTTTTCCCTGTCCACAATCTCGGAGATGCGCTCAGGACATCACTGATATCTATTCTTTGCACCAATTTTGGAGACCACCCGTGTGCTCACATCTGCATTCCTGTGGAACAAACATGGCCAGGTTGGGGTGGACTTTGCAGTGCGGAGTGGAGCCGATGCTAGTGTGTAAGTGGCATAAGTGTGTCATCAGGCCCTGCTCCTCTACCAGCTGGTCTCTGATCTGAACCCTGCCTCCCCTGGCCAGTACAGGATATGTATCTTACACAAATACTGCTTTGTAACAGACTTAGTGATCAGAGTGCCAGACTAGTCACTTTAACCACTGGACTACCAAGGCCAATACAACAATAGGCTGACTGACCTAAGACTATGTTTTAGGTGTGTTTTGTTGAGCCGGGCTTAGGCGAAGCTTCATTGAAACATTTCTGGTTATGAATTCAGGCTGATGAAAATAACTCATATTTAAAACTGAATAAATTGCATTTCTTGCAGAAATGCTGTTTGAATGCTGGATAGCTTAAACTGTAATCTGAATCAGCTTAATAGCTGAACTGAAGCTGAAAGTAAGCAAAACTGTCAAAATGAGCTGAATGTGTTGAAAGACGTAGAAGCAAAAATCACTAACAAGCAAATAAAGCACAAAAAGTAAGTGAAGAATGGAGAAAAATAATCCTAAATAGCAAAAAACTGAAATCTGTGAACATTGTATAAAAATCTGGACAGCTAAAATGCCTAAACACCTGTTATGTCAGTAGGACTAATTTAACAGTTTAATTTTTACATTTAGCTTACCTGTGAAATTAGCATCATATGCTGAATTCAAAAACTGATTCCTGAAGCTGCTGAATAGCTCAAGTGAAGCTGAAACTAAGCTAAACTGGCAAATGAGCTGAATGTAGTGAAAGATGTGAAAGCAAAAAGCACCAACAAACAAATAAAGCACAAAAAGTAAGTGGAGCATCAAGAAAACTAATCCTAAACAGCAGAAAACTGAAATCTGTGAACATTGTTTAAAAAAACTGGACAGCTAAA